AGTAAGTTTTTCAATCCATCAACATGAAATATTTTTCCATTTATTTGTCTTTGGTTCATTTCTTCAGCAATGTTTTGTAGTTTTTGGTGCATAAGTCCTTCACCTCCTTGGTTAATTTAATTTTTAAGTATTTTATTCTTTTTGATGTTACTGTAGTTTTTTCCTAATTTTCTTTTTGAATTGTTCATTTTTAGTGTAGAGAAAGAATTTGTATGTGGTTTTGTTTCCCGCAACTTTATTGAATTTGTTTATTAACAGTTTTTCATGGAGTTATTAGGGTTTTCTATATAAATGATCATGTTGTCTGCAAACAGAGACAATTTAACTTTTTCCTTTCCTATTTAGATGCCTTCTATTTCTGTCTCTTGCCTAACCTCTCTAGTCAGGCCTTGTTCCTGACTACAGAGAAAACATTTTCTGTCTCTCACCACTGAGTATGATGTTAGTTAGCCATGGGATTTTCATACATGGCCTACTATGTTGAAGTTGTTACCTTCTATTTCTTGTTTGTTAAGTGTTTTTATCATGAAAGGTGTTGAATTTTGTCAAGTGCTTGTTTTTGTCAAGTGCTTTTTTGAAATGACCATGTGGGTTTTGTCCTTCATTCTGACAATGTAGTGTATTATACTGACTGATTTTCATATGTTGAACCATCTTTGCATTCTAGGAATAAATCTCACTTGGTCATGGTATACAGTCCTTTTCATGAGCTGTTGAATTATTTTTGCTAGCATTTTGTTAAGGCTTTTTAGTAATCAATATTCATCATGAATACTGGTATCTAGTTTTCATTTCCTGTAGTGCCTTTGTCCATCTTTGGTATCAAGGAAATGATGGTGTCATACAATGAGTTTGGAAATGTTCCCTGATCTTCAACTTTTTAGGAGTTTAAGGAGGATTGCCTTTAATTTTTCAAAAATTTGGTAGAATTCTCCAGTGAAGTCATCTGGTCCTGGACTTTTCTTTGTTGCAAGATTTTTTATTAACTCCTCAATCTCCTTACTAGATATAAGTCTGTTCAGTTATCTCCCCCCCCCCCCCCCGCTTTGGTCATGATTTTATCTTAGGAGGCTGTTTCTAAGAATTTATCCATTTTTCTAGTTTACCCACTGTTTGGTATATAATTGTTTCTAGTATCCTCTTATATCCTTTTTATTTCTATGGCATATGTTGTAATGCCCCTTTATCATTTCTGATTTTATTTTTATGTATTTATTTCTGAGTCAGGGGTCTCACCCTATCACCCAGACTAGAATGCAGTGGCACAATCACAGCTTACTACATGTGTGACTTCCTGGGCTTAGGCAATCCTCCCACCTCAGCCTCCTGAGTGGCTGGGACCACAGGTGTGTGCCACCACACCTGGATAATTTTTTTTATTTTTTTGTAGAGACGAGGTTTTACTATGTTGCCTAGGATGGTCTCGAGCTCCTGGGCTCAGGCAATCCTCTCACCTCAGCCTCCCAAACTGCTGGGATTATAGACGTGAGTCACTACACACAGCTGATTTTAGTTATTTGAGTTTTCTTTTTTTCTTAATTATCTAAGGGTTTATCTATTTTGTTTTTGTTTTTATCAAAAAATAAATTCTTAGTTTCACTGGTTCTTTATTTTTTATTTCCCGTTTCATTTGTTTTTTACTCTGATATTCATTATTTTCTTCATTCTGCCAACTTTGAGTCTGGTTTGATCTTCTTTGTCTAGTTCCTTGAGATGTAAAGTTAGGTTGTTGCTTTGAGAGGCTGGTTTTGTAAGGTGTTTACAGCTGTAAACATTCCTGTTAGTACATTTTTCACCACATCTCATACATTTTGGTATTTTGTGTTCTCATTTTCATTTGTCTTAATATATTTTCTAAATTCCTTGTGAATACTTCTATTGTCCAATGAATGCTTAAGAGTGTGGTTAGTTTGCACTTTATTTGTGAATTTTTTCGGTTTTTCGTCTGTTACTGAGTTCTAGTTTCATTCCATTGCAGTCAGAAAAAAGTTCTTTATATGCTTTCATTCTCTGTAAACGTGTTAAGCCTTGGTTTGTAGTCTAACCTGGTCTATCCTGGAGAATGTTCCAGGTGCTCTTGAAAAGACTGTGTATTCTGCCATTGCTAAATGGAGTGTTCTTTGTATGTCTGTTAAGTCCATTTGGTCTACAGTATTGTTTAAATCCTCTGTTTCCTTGTTAATCTTCTGTCTGGTTGTTCTAACCATTATTTAAAGTGAGGCACTGAAGGCTCCCATGATTATTGTGCAGCTATTTCTCCCTTCAATTTTTGTCAATGTTGCTTCAATAGACTATTCCTGTTGTCTATTTCTTCTAATGTCACATGCATATATTTATAATTGTTGTATCTTCCCATTGAATTGACCTTTTTATCATTATCTTATATCCTTCACTGTTTTTTTATCTTAAAGTCTATTTTTTAAAATATAAGTATGACCACTTCTGCTCTCTTTTAGTTACCATTGACATGCTAATTTTTTCCTGTCTTCTTTCAGCCATGTGTGTTCTTAGATCAAAAGTGAGTTCTTAGATCAAAAATGTGTCTCTTGTAGAGAGTATACACTTGGATCTTGTACTTTTAATCCATTTAGCTTGTTTATGCCTGTGGATTGAGGTGTTTAATCCACTTAAATTTAAAATAATCACTGATAGGGAAGGACTAATAATGTCATTTTATTGTTTTCTGTGTACCTTGTATCTATTTTGCTCCTCTTTTCCCCATGAAAATACAGAACACAGGAATCAAAGTTCACTCTTCTCATTCCTTCTAAATGAAAAGTTTGTAGTCAGGAGTTTTTGTCCCAATCTTGCCACAATGTGCCATGGAAGGGAAGTGGCTAGGGTAGGTAATAAGCCACCAATTTTTGTACCTGCTTCAATATATCTCTTCTTGGCCTTACACTATAACCTCTTAAGTGGTTTCTGGAGTTCTGACAAAGACAATTTGGTCCATAAATGTTTAAGTCAGTATCTCTTTGGGGAATGAGGACCTGGGACTTCCTAATCCACCAACTTACTGACATTACTTTTAAATTATTCTTTAAATGTTTGATAGAATTCACCAGAGAGTCCATCTGGACCCGGACTTTTCTTTGTGGGTAGTTTTTTAAATTATTATTTTAATCTCTTAACTTGTTATAGATCTATTCCAATTTTCTGTTTCTTCTTGATTCAGTTTCAGAAATCTGTGTCTTTCTAGAATATGTCTATTTCATCTAAGTTATCCTTTGGTACACAGTTGTTCAGGGCATCCCCTTAGGATACTTTTTAATTTCCATAAGATAAATAGTAATATCATGCCCTTTCATTCCTGATTTTAGTAATTTGAATCTTCTCTCTTTTTTCCCTTGGTCAGTCTAGCTAAAGGTTTGTCAATTTTGTCAATCTTTTCAAAGAACCAACTTTTGGTTTCATTGATTCTCTCTGTTTTTCTATTTTCTATTTCATTAATTTCTGCTCTAATCCATATTGTTTTCTTCTTTCTGCTTGTTCCGAGTTTGTTCTTCTTTTTTCTAATGTGTTAAAGTTGAAGGTGAGGTTACTGATTTGAGATCTTTCTTCTTCTTTAATGTACATGTCTACAGCTACATATTTCCCTCTAAACAATGCTTTCACTGCATCTCATAAGTTTTTATATGTTGTGGCTTCGTTCTCATGCATCTCAAAGTAAGTTCTCATTTTTTGTGATTTCTTCTTTGACTCACTGATAATATTTAGGAGCATGTTGTTTAATTTCCATATATTTGTTAATTTTCCAAATTTCTTTCTGTCAGTAATCCTAAATTTAAATCCATTGTGACCAGAGAACATGCTTTGCATGATTTCAAACCTTTTAAATTCACTGGGATTTGTTATATGGCTTAGCTTATGGTCTGTCTTAAAGAATATTCCATGTACATTTAAGGGATGCATACTTCATTGCTGTCAGGTGGAGTATTAAGTAAATGCTTTCTCTAGAATAACATTTTAATTTCTTTAATGATTTTTTTCGCTATATTTTAAAGTTATTTTCTTAGTAGTTGCTATAGGGCTTCCAATATGCTTTTTTTTTTTGAGTTACAGTCTCACTCCGTCGCCCAGACTGGAGTGCAGTGGCCGCTCCCAGCCACTGCAGCCTCGACCTGCTAGGCTCCGGTGATCCTTCCGCCTCAGACTTCCAAGTAGCTGGAACTACAGGCGCACGCTACCACGTCCGGCTAATTTTTCTTATTTATTGTAGAGATGAGGTCTCGCCTGCCCAGGCAGGTTTCGAACCCGCGGGCTCAGGCAATCCACTCACCTCAGCCTCCCAAAGGCGCGGGATTACAGGCTGAGCCACCAAGCCCGGCTCCAATATGCATTTTAATGTATCAGAATTTACTTCAGGTTTATACTTACTAAGTTCCAGTGAAATACAGAAATATACTCCTACATAGCTCTATTCTCTCTTCCCCCTCTTTGTGCAATTATCATTATGCATATTACATCTAGGTATATTACAAAGCCAATAATATATTGTTAAATTATCATTCTTTTGCTTTTAAAGTAATACTAACAATCAATTGAGGCAACCTTAGTGGAAGAGTATTTTCAAAGTTAATCAGAACTCCAAACTAAAGAATGGCCGCCTAAATTCACAGCATCCCGGACTTCCTTTTCAAAACACACATAGACAAAAGTATGACCTGCAGTACCCACACTTGATACACTCTGCTTCCTAGGCTTCACTGTACTTAAACCCTTCCTCCCCCTCAGAAGTGCATTCTGCTAGTTTTACAGAAGAAAGTGCCAAATTGAGAAAGCTGTCCTATGAAAGGCAGTAAGTTCCACTTCCCTGGAAGAAGTCCTGATAGCAAAACACATTATCCACCCATTTCTTCCCAAATAGAAAAAAGGCAATGGCTGCAAGAAAAAGCAAGGAAGAGAGTGCAAAGGAGAATATTCATTATTTAATTCCCAAAACAAAGGCTCCTGAAATCTGTTCTGAGATGCAAGTTCCCGTCCTCTGGAGCTCTGCTTACCCGAAACGGGGTGTTGATTCGACTCGTGAGAGTGTCTAGGATGTGGACATTCTCGTGCTGGTGCAACAGTATAAAACGAAGGAAGATCTCAAGTAGTGCCGGCTCGGAGATGCTGCGCAGGAAAAGGTCCAGATACGCAGTTGTGGTCATAACCTCCTCCACAGTCACCTGGGACCAACGGCAGAGGAAGCACAGGTCAGCATCCTCCGATGCTGTGATACACGCTTCTCCAACACCCCAGTCTCACCGCAGTGACCCCATCAAGGCAAGAACACGCCCGCCACAAAAACACACTTCAGAGCTTCATCTGAAGCCCGTAACCTGTTCACATTCCACAGTAGCTCACGCTGCTTCTGCCCTTTAACTCAGCAAGGGAAGAGAACGCATAAAGAAGCAATGCTAGTGTTCTGACAACTCCAGTCATCAAGTGCAGTTCAAATACCATAAAGATTTTAGTGCATAATCAAAAAATGTAAAACAAGATAACGGAAAGTACTTATGTGGTTAGTAAAGGATTAATTAGAAAGCTCGGTATAACTTGTTTCTTTATTAGTTATTCAATAAACATTTATTGGGATCTGCTACGTACAAGGAGTTGAAAACATCAGAATATATTTTATGTCCAGGAAAATGGGCAATAACAAGCAAAATGATAATATAGTAAATTGCAAAGGGGAGGTACAGACAGAGTGCTACAGATGTTTAGATGTGTTTCTGGAGAGCTACAAGTCAGTTTTTTTTTATAACTGAATAATATACATAAAGTTTTATTTATAAAGTACTATAAGGGCTTCCTGCTTGTAAAGTAACTGAGACTTTTTTATAATCCAAATTAATATTTTCTACCTGGTGTAATTTTCCCATGCACTAAAATGTCAATCTTTCAGTGAATTAGACTCTGAAGAGTCAAGATTTTCCAAGGGCTGAGGATTTGATGTTTAAACCACCAAAATTTTAATCTTCAATGTTTGGATTGGGAACATTTTAAGAGCTAGAATATACTTCTTTATTCTCCTAAGAGCCAAATATACCCTCTCTTGATGAGTAGAGGTCATCACTCAGGTCCTGAATTCCCTACTTGGGCATACAGAAGCACCAACGTGAATGCATGCAAATCGCCAAAAGTTCAAACTTTCAGCTTCTAATATCACATCCTAGAAATCTTAGAAACCCCTCTGCCACAAGTCAAATGCACACAATTCTAAGCAAAACAGTATTTTTTTTTTTTTTGAGGTTTTTGATTTTTTTTTGAGTCGCCCAAGCTGGAGTGCAGTGGCACACTCACGGACACCCCAGTGTCAACCTGCTGGACTTAGGTGATCATTCTGCCTCAGCTTTCCAAGTAGCCGGAACTACAGATGCACATACCTGGTTAATTTTTTTTATTTATTGTAGAGATGAAGTCTCACCAAGTTGCCCAGGTTGTTCTCGAACCCATGGGCTCAGGCAATCCTCTCACCTCGGTCTCCCAAAGTGCTAGGATTATTGGCTTGAGCCACTGTACCCGACCGTGAAATAGTTTATGAGTGACTGTATCTTCTCTTTTTTTTTTTCATCTTCCTTCTCCCTCCCTTTAACAATAATGGTCACATTATTGTACTGTTACTGGGCCTTCCCACACATACTCCATTCCTCTTCTCCTTTTAAGTTTCTGCTTTCGAAATCTACAGATTTGTTTAGGAACCAGATGTCCAGATCTGGTACAGAGGCGTAGGCGAGCCCTGAGTGGACGCATCTGTGTATAAAGGCTTGGTAGGAACTATTTTGGCTGCTAAAATTATTTTTTAAAAGTTCCTAGCCGGGCTCAGTGGCTCAGCCTGTAATCCCACACCTTTGGGAGGCTGAGGTGAGTGG